ATGGTAGTTTGGAAGGCAGGGCAATATCATCAAGCGGCATATTGTCATGACTCAAGGCTGGTGGACTGATTGATTTATTCTACCTGTTGCTTGGTTGGGGCATCAGCATATAGTGTGGGAGGATCAATCCTCAGATTATGAATATGCATCTGACTCTGACCAATCCCTGAGTAGTAGCAAGAACAGAGAGTGGGTTTTTTAAAGCACCAAAAGACAACTCCACAAGTCAAGAATCCATATAAAAGATTGATTTTTATTATAATAATTTTGAAAAATGTTTTTGGATCAAAGGTCCATTAAACAGCAGCTAGGTAGATAGCTCCCTCTATGCCTACTCCATATGAACCCTTTTTAACATGATTTAGTCATACACAAAAGAATAAGTATATTTAGGTAGTAATTAACATGATAATGTTGAAAAAATTCACCAAAGATAAGCATCAAGATAACAATCCATTAAATGCTGTATGGTATAAAGTTGGAGGGTTTGAACATGGAGGAGCTCATACGACGTTTCGCGCGCACAGGCGCTTTTCAGGAAACAGGGAATATCAATTTGCATATACTGATATATATGTATCTGGGCGGGTCTATCTGAGCCGCGCACCCACGCAGTCCCCCCTAGGGATAGGAGGGGTAGAGCATGAGACAAATCCCAATATTGAGTCAGGGGTAGGGGGTGGGAGACAAAGTACAAGCATGAGAGAAGTGATCCCGTCAATAAGTTTGCTGGCCAAACAGTAGCAAAAGAAGGGGCATCGGACACGGATGCCCATCTGCTTGTCTCCAGAAAATCAATCCTCCGATTACCCCCACGCCACCCACATCTAGCACCTCCGCCTCCTGGCCGCAGACTCAGACTCAGTCTTGCCCTTTAAGCTGCATTCAAAGACCCTCTCCCTGCTAAATAATATTTTCTAAAAAGGTTTTTTTTGCATCTCTATATCTCCCATATGGCAGTGCCCACCTACCTATGCCCTTTTTTGCCAATTAGTCATTAAAACAGACAGAAAAATATAGCAATATTCAGGTTTCCCCAAACTTCAATAGGGTTCAGCGAAATATGCTCGTAGTTTTACAGACTTCCTGTTGGATTTGAGGAACCCAGGCCCCACACAGTAATGTACTTGTGAAATGCCCCAATATCAATGTTTTTGTACATTGTTACAAACTGAAAAAGTTTAATATTAGTGCAAAACATAGGATTAACAGTGATGAAGGAAGAAATGCCCTGGCATCAGTGTAGGGAATCTCACATGGCAGTGTGGGGTCTCAGGAGGGCTGTGCCGGGTCTCTGGTGGGCTGTGCGGAGTCTAAAGTGGGCTCTGCAGGGTGTAAGGTGGGCTCTGCAGGGCCTCTGGTGAGCTGTGTGAGGTCTATGGTGGGCTCTGGAGCAGTGTGTGGGAACGTGTTAAGGAGGTAGGTACTTTTTTTTTGGCAGGGGGCTGTTTGGGTGGGACATACAACATTTTGCTGGTCAAACGTCTTGTTTTTAACAATTCTTGAGTGCTTTTAGCTGTATGCTTTGGATCATTATCCTGCTGGAATTCAGTGTGTTTTCCACCATACTACTGACCGGTATCCCCTTTGAAATTGGGTGCTGAAGCGATGACGGATGGCGCCGCCCTGCTTCTCCTTTCCTTTTTTTACTTTTTTTTATCCATTTTAACAGGATGACTGATCACAAGATTAAAGACATGTGTGATACTAATTACAGAAAACAAGTATTTTGAAACTTCACTATGATCCATTCTTTTTAAATATTTTATAGGGCCAGCAACAAATCTGTCCTAGCCATTTTAAAATATCTTTGTACAATCAGCAATAATTTATCTCTTTTCACACTTTCTTTGCTTAACTATGACATGTCAAAGGAATGCAGGTATACATGAGACAATTGCTTTCAATGTCAACATTTTTCATGAGGAATGAAGCATTGCTTCAATAAAATGTAATGGTAAACATTTGCCCTCATCTGTAGTGTGTATATATATATATATATATAT